ATTGATAGTAAATTTCAAAACACTATCTTTTCATCAACTAGTCAAGGTTTTGATAACTCCCAGTGCATTCATCTTTTCCGTGGGTAGTATGCCACATGTTAAGGTTCCCTACAGAAAGCACGTTGATTTTTTTTCATGTAAAGGAGTGAGCAATATATTGTGGGGTGATGTGGGAGTTTAATATTTCACAAGCGTGTCATAATATATGAAAAGGCTCCTTTTATACCTTAGTAACCTGAAAGTCATGTGGCAAAACTTAAGACAACCTTGAATTTGGTATGACTCTGCATTTAAACTCCTGGGAGGAAGTCCTTTCCTTCCCTTTGGCTTTATACAGTGTGTTGTGGAGAGGCTCTTAAATTTCAAGTGTTTAGAATACATTCTGTCCTCCTAGTAGCTAAATATCCTGTTTTCTCTACGCAGAAATTATTTTCCACTGAGTGATTTCTACCTTTGTCACAAGAACTCTGAGCATTACAGACCAGCTATACTACCGTATAATGAAACTATAAAACAGTATTATCAAAAAAAGAAATAGCAAACATACGTCATGGTTACTGTAATTTCATAGAATCGTAAAATTGTTTGGGTTGGAAGGGACCTTTAAGGTCGTCTAGTCCAACTATCAACCATTTTTTTGTAGGATTGTCTGTATCTATGATGGAATTTAAAGAGCAACACTTTTAGGAAAACTTTTAGGCTGCAATAGTGCAAATATTTTGTCTAAAGAGAATAGTGCTTGTTCAAAAAGCATTAAACAAAACACGTTTACAGTTTCCTCACATGATTCCAACTAAGAGCTGTACATTTCTCTGTTTTAGCTTTTTCCACAGGTTCAGAAACATATTCCTACTTATTTTAAGCATTAAACGCCTATCCCTTTGTTTTGTTTTTGCTAACTTAGCAACTGATACGGTTTTGCTTGGAAACACTATCTCTTTAAATAGGAATAGTTCATACTTAGTGGCAATAGTGGATAAATTATAACATGCCAGAAACATTGTGCATACTTCTGAAAGGCAGAATATTAATGTATCTCCAGACGTATCTAGAGATTAAATAGCATTTTTGAGATGCCAGAAGTTTTTAATAACCAGTCTGAGGAGTCTGTAATTTAGGATACATTATAATTTAGCACAAAAAAAAAAAAAAAAGGAAAGAGACACAGATTATTTGTAGTCCAATATCAGCCATGAAGCAGAAGCTGCCTAGAGATTTTCCACAGGCACACATTCCCACCTAATAACGTATTTAGTATATTACATGTTCTATTACAGCAATAACTCTGCCATAGAATTATTTCAAACTTGCATATTGGTTTATGTGTTGTTATAGCACACAAAAAAAAAAAAAAAAAGGAGAGAGACACAGATTATCTGTAGTCCAATATCAGCCATGAAGCAGAAGCTGCCTAGAGATTTTCCACAGGCACACATTCCCACCTAATAACGTATTTAGTATATTACATGTTCTATTACAGCAATAACTCTGCCATAGAATTATTTCAAACTTGCATATTGGTTTATGTGTTGTTATAGCACCTGTGCAGGACAGTCCCCAAATTCTGTTATGTGTATGACTTGCTGAAGATTATAACTTCCAGAAATGCAAGAACCTTCCTAATGTACATCAGACAGATTTACCCAAGTCCCTCATCGTACAAATTCCCCTCTGTCCTCTCCTGCTCAGGAGTAAAGTACTCTGCTGCTGGTCACTGTCCCTAGAATCAAGGCTTACCTTAGCTGAAATAACATGCAGTAACGGTGAATGTTGGTGGGATGACTGGGATGTGAGTCCTCAGAGGCAGAAGGCTGTTTTCCCCTGAGTTAGCTTCTCTGGCTGCCACACTGGGATTGTGGGGGAGTCAAAGTTGTACCTGCTTTTCAGCTCTTTACACCCATTCTGTCACCTAGAGGAAGAAAACAACAGTTCTTTCATTTCTGTATGCAGAAATTCATGAGGTTGGTAATTGAGGGTGTAGTAGTTCAGCTCTGCAGCAAAATTCAAACACATCAGGAACATTATAATAAAAAAGTAGTCAGGAGGAGACGCTATTCAAATTGCAATTACCTGCAAAAAAAATCTGCAAAAAAAATCTCCATCTGCCTGTACATTTGGTACAGGTTCTTTAAAAATTTTGGAATTCATTTAAAAAAAAATTAAACTCACTATGCTTATCAAAGCATAATGTCTTATCAGAGTCCATATCTTCTCAGAGAAGGCCTCCATTTCAAGATATTTTTTTAAAGAACTGATGCTGAGACAGGAGGTGAGAAGAACTTGGTGCAGACCCATCTTCTAGCATTCAGAAATTTAGGAAAGTTGGCTCTGAGCTGGGTGGGCTGGAGGCCTTCCTGAAGGGATCAGGCTCTGCAAGAACTGCCATTTTTTTCCCAGATTACCTTAAAAAAATATTTTTGTACAATAACCCACATCACGTTGTTCTGGAAAAGCTTTCTTCCCTCCCACTTCTTCACTCTTGCACCTGTAGCAATACTTCCTCTCCTGGTGTTCAGCAACACAACTTAACACCAATTCTGAAGGAATTAATTTCATGAAAGCACAGGCAAACTTTGAAGAGTACAGCAAACCCAAACCCAAATCCTCCTTCAGCTGCACAAAAAGGTTTAGGCAATGTTGCTTCCAATCAGGACAGTCATATTTGAATTTTCAGTTATCCTGTTTTATTTTCAAAATTACATTCACGCATCTGTTTTCACTTTACTGTTTGCATGATGTAAGTTATTCACATTCTTTGTCACTGTACTTATAATACTAAATTACAATTTAGTAACTCATTAGTGAGAGTAATTGCCAATGTCTTGCCAAATAGCCTGTGCCCATTATAAATGAAAGTTGCATAAATTAGGAAGGGGTGTTTTGTTTGTAGGAGATTATGAGAATAATTTATGCTATAAATAAACACCTTGATGTGACTAGTAGTGTTTAGATGACTATAAAACATCCCTTGTGTAATTAGAAAGCACATTTTTGTGTAATTAAGAAAATAAACGAGGATTAAATTTTCATAGAGTGCAGGTGGTAATGCCACCCTATTGTAACGTAAAACATACAGACACATTATTTTTATATACAATTATTGTAATAATTAGGAACAGTTTTTATATTAAGCTGGAAATATATATACGTATTAACATCAGAAATGCCAGCAAAACACAGTTCTTTAAAAAAATCCAAAAAACAACAAACCCAGAGGAAGCAGTTTAAAAAAAAAGGGCACCCTATATATACAGTATTTTCATTTTGCAGCATTCAAAGAAAACTGTTTGGAAAGTGATTTCAAACAAAATTTAAGTAAGCTATTCTTCCTCTTTTCCCGGAGAATATAGTTCACGAATACCTCTGTGTGCTTGTTTTTGGCTGTTTGCTTATAAATTTTTCCTAGTTGAGAAAATTCTGATGAATAATAGTATAGCAAAAGTGTAACACCAAAAAGCAAAGACAAACGGGAAACAACATTTTCGTTCAGTTTTTAACAGTGACAAATATGAGAGACTTTGGAATCCCAAGTCCAAATACATGTATACATGCATACTTGAAATAATTTACTCTCATTCTTTGAGCTGAAGAAACAGAGGTGTTTATGATCACTTCTGTGTTAGAAGTGCCCCTATCACAAGGCAGTTAGCAAATGAGTATGTTCCTTTGGTTTAAATATTTATCTAGGCTGGTGTTTTTTCCTGCAACACTGGTACCTCCTTTTCACTTGCATGTTTGTACTCTGCCATGGCAAGAATTCAAGTCAAATCTGTACTTTTATTTTCTCTTTCAAATCCTGCCCAAATTTCTAAGAATTGTCCCATGTCTGCACACCTGCTTAAAAAGTGCTATTAGCACTATATACTGAGGAAGAATACAAGGGGGGGTGAGGAGCTGCTTTTCTGGAGACACAGTGTCGTGTGAGAGCCAAGAGTCCCTAGAGAGCTTCAAATTGGATGTTCTGGTTTTTTGTCTTGTGTTAAGTTGCTAGAAGGTTCTTTACAGTGGTAACATCTGCAAACCAGATCCTGTACAGGATCTAATTGGCATGGCTGTATTTTGGTTTGGTAACCTTCTCTGCAGAACAGATGCTGGACCCAAGCACTGGACTACAGGATATGATGCACAGGGGTGCTAAAGGAACAGCAGCAAGCTGCCCTATGCCATCTAGAACTGCTCTCTGGAAACACTCAGTTCCAGTCCTTGCTCCTCTCTGCGTATGACAGCTGTTCAAGAGTCTTAAGTAGATTTTCTGAATCTAGCTCTAATAGAATATCCCAACACAGGGAACTAACTGATATTGTTCACCAGGTTTAATAAATACAGGGTTCCTGAAAATATGTTGTTTCACCGAGAAACAGGAAGGAAACGCCCAACTCCAGAAGCTCAGTAAGGAGACAGAGCCATTTCTAAAACACTCATTTAGCTGCAGAATATTTTTACCACCTCACAGAGTGTGAACTGCACGGAGTAACAACCAGCACCCAGAATCACACAGAAGGGGGCAAAAAGCAGATTGTGCAGAGAGGCAGTACCATTGTCCCCGTTGCCTCCGGAGTGCATGACCCTTACATGGGTAAGTGATGGTTCCTGCAAACCTAAGAGCACTCCTAGGGAGCTGCTGAGCCTCATCTTCAGGAGGTTGAACTTTAGCTCAAGACAGAAAGGATAAAGGCAGGCATGAGGATGAAAGCAGGACTTCAGGATTACAGCTGCCATGCCCTGTGATTATCGTAGGCACTAAACCCCCATTTTTCTTAACAGCGAAAATCCACAGCTTTTGAGTTCAGTGCAATTTGAGAGCATTTTTTCAGCTCCTTTTTCAGGATCCTCTTCTGATGCCACCTGTGCCTATGACACCTCTCTGTCCTGTCTTCCCACAGCAAGCCAGACGCTGTGCCTTTTGGAGAAGCTCTTTTCTGTCCTGGCAACCGTCTTTTATGGCCACGCTCTCCTTTCTTGGTGTTGCCCCGAGAGGCAACTTCTCTTTCCCTCCTGTGGCTGCCCCACTATGACACTGTTCAGGCTGCAGAGAAGAGGAGGAGTTACAGCATAAAGCTACAGCGTTTGCTTCCAAGGTAAGCAACACTTCAGAGTCCTGCTTGGGAGGACACACTTAAGCCATAAAGGGGGAAGGGACTGTGCAGAGACAAAGGCACAAACTCTGCACTTTCTTTCCTTTACGGAAAGATAAAAGGTAGCACACGTAAATGTCACTGCTTGGAACAGCAAGATGCCTTTCGTGTTCGTCAGTCACTTGACTGCCTTCTAAATCACAGGCGTATGTCTTTTCCATGGGGTTTTTTGGGGGGGGGGGTTCCCAATTTTGAAAATTGCTCAGAAATGGCA